TGCAGCTTGGTAGCACTGTTGATGACACTTTCCATCACTTTACTGATGATTGAGAGTAGACTGGTGGGGTGATAATTGGCTGGAACAAAAACAAAAACAAACAAAAAACAGAAGTTGCTGGAAAAGCTCAGCAGGTCTGGCAGCATCTGTGAAGAAAAATCACAGTTAACGTTTTGGGTCCAGTGACTAGTTCTGAGGAAGGGTCACTGGATCCAAAACGTTAACTGTGATTTTTCTTCACAGATGCTGCCAGACCTGCTGAGCTTTTCCAGCAACTTCTGTTTTTTGTTACTGATTTACAGCATCTGCAGTTGTTTCGGTTTTTATTTGGTAATTGGCTGAGTTGGGTTTGTCCTGCTGTTTGTGTACAGGACATACTTGGCCATTTTCCACACTGTTGGGTAGATGCCAGTTTTGTAACTGTACTGGAACAGAGTGGCTAGGGGAGCGGCAAGTTCTGGACCACAAGTCTTAGTACTATTGCCAGAATGTTGTTAGGATCCATAGCCTTTGCAGTATCCAGTGCTTTCAACCTTTATTTGATATCATGTGGTGTGAATCAAATTGGTTGAATACTGGTATCTGTGAAGCTGGGGTCCACTGGTAGAGGCCAAGACAGATCATCCACTTGGCACTTCTGGCTAAAGATTGCTGTGGTTGCTTAAGCCTTATGTATTACACTGATGTGTTGAGCTCTTCCATCATTGAGGATGGGGATATGTGGAGTCACCTCCTCCAGTGAGTAGTGTAGTTGTCCACTGCCATTTACGACTGGATGCAGCAGGACTGCACAGTTTAGGTCTGATCCGTTGGTTGTGGCTTCACTTAGATGTATCTATCACTTGCTGCTATTGCTGTTTGGCATGTAAGTCATCTTGTGATGCTAACAAACAAGGTTCACAGGTATGCCTGGTGCTGCTCCTGGCATACTCTTCTGCACTGTCTATTGAACCAAGGTTGATCCTTTGGCTTGATTGCAATGGTTGAGTCCAGGATATATTGGTCCATGAGGTTGCAGATTGTGTTGAATTACAGTCCTGCTCATGCTGATGGCCCACAGCGCCTCATGGATGCCCAGTCTTGATTTGCTAGGTATGTTAGAAGTCTGTGCCATTTAGCATTGTGATAGTGCCACAAAACACAATGGAGGGTATTCTCAAAGTGAAAGCAGGACTTTGTCTCCACAAGGACTCTGCGGTGCTCACTCTTATTGATACTGTCATGTACAGATACATTTGCAGCTGGCAGAGTGATGAGGATGAGTCAAGTATGTTTTTTCCTCTTGTTGCTTCCCTCACCACCCAATGCAGACATGGTATAACCTATATGGTGGACATTGAAATCCCCTATCCAGAGTATGTTTTGCATCCCTGTGACCCTCAGTGCTTCCTTCTAGTGGTGTTCAACATGGAGCACTGATTCATCAGCCAAGGGAGGATAGGTGATAATCAGCAGGAGGGTTCCTTGTCTATGTTTAAACAGGAGCCATGCGACTTCAATGAGTCATTGTTGGGGACTTCCAGGGCAACTCCTTTCTGACTGTATACCACTGTGCCACCATCTCTGCTGAGTCTGTCCTGTTGGTGTCTGAGATATTGTCTGTAAGATATGATTTTGTGAGTGTCACTATGTCAGGCTGATCCTCGACTAGTACGTGAGAGAACTCTCCCACTTTTAGCACGAGGCCCCAAATATCAGGTGGTCTGACCAGTTTCAATTCTTTGTTGAGACTTGGTTGATACAGTTGAATGGCTTACTAGTTCATTCGGGAGAGCAGTTGAAAGTCAGCATTGCTGTGGCTCTGGAGTCACATGTAGGCCAGACCAGGTAAGGATGGCAGATTTCCTTCACTGAAGGCTATTAGTGAGCCAGATGGGTTCATCCGACAATAGGCAATAGTTCCGTGGTTTTCAGTAGATTCTTAATTCCATATATTCTTTATTGAATTCAAATTCCACCATCTGGTGTGGCTGGATTTGAACTAGGATCCATAGAACATGAACTGATTTTCTGGATTAATAGTCTAGTGATAATACAATTTGGCCAGTGTCCTGTTATTCCCCATTCCCCCCCATTGTCCTGCTGTTTTCAGGGTTCTGTTGAGAAGCTCCCCAGCTCCCCAAGACCTTCTTCCTCACTGTTAATCACTTGGCTAAGTTTTGTGCCATCCACAAACTTGCTTATCATCACCCCCACCCCCCCGCCACAGTCGTGTGTGTGTGTGTGTGTGTGTGTGTACACTCCTCCGGTCACACAAACAGCCTTCTCTCTCCACCCTCTGTTGCTTACCACAAAGCCAATTTTGGATTAATCTTGCCAAGTTACCATGGACTCCATGTGCTTTTACCTTCTTTATCAGTCTCCCATGTGGGACCTTGTCAAAGGCTTTACTGAAATCTATATTAACTAGATCCACCCCACCCCATTCAAAAGTCTCTCAAGAAATGGCTGAAGGCACTAGGACACTGCAAAGGTTGTGAGCATTGACAACATTCTGACAATAGCACTGAAGAAGTGTGCTTCAAATGTGCCCTGAGCGAAGCTATTCCAGTACAACTATAACACTGGCATCTGTCTGGCAATGTGGAAAATCGCCCAGCTATATCCTGTACACACACAAAGCAGGACAAATCCAAACTGACCAATTACCAGCCAATTGGTCTAGTCTTGATCATCAGCAAGTGAAAGGTGTCATCAACAGTGTTATTAAGCAGCAGTTACTGAGAAATAACCTGCTCGGTGACACTAAGTTTGGGTTCTATCATGGCCCTTCAGTCCCTGACCTCATTATGGGCTTTGTTTCAAAAATGAAGAAAAGAGCTGAATTCCAGAGGTGAGATGAAAATGAACAGGCCTTCTACATTTGACCAAATGTGGCTCAAGGATGATCTAATTGTGGCCACTTTCTTGCCTTTTCCCCCAGTAAGTGGAGCAAGTATAAACACCTTATAAAATATTTATTCCTGTGTCCATGGTATTTTTGTACATTGTTACATTGTACAGTAGCTTTGTGTTACAATCTTGTCACCTATTTGGCTCATTTGTCTTTGTCAATGTTATGAACTGTTACAAATGCTTTTTTTTCAAATCAACCAATGCCAGTTTGTTTTATAAAGGTGCATAATTTCAAAAATTCTGAATTATACATCAAATACCAGATGTTAAATCTCTGCAGTATACTTGACATGCAATTTATTTAAAATTTATTGAAACAGAAATTAGAAGTAGTATTTTAATGCTGTTTAGGCTTTGGAGCTACAAGTATGCTTCCAAAATATATTTGTTCTGAACTTACAGAACAGCTCAAAACAAGGATTAGTGCACTGTGATAAGACGACTGCTGCCTCACAGCACCATGGACCCAGGTTTTACTCCACCCTTGGGTGACTGTGTGGAGTTTGCACTTTCCCCCTCTGATGAAGGGTCTACGCCCGAAACGTCAGCCTTTCTGCTCCTATGATGCTGCTTGGCCTGCTATGTTCATCCAGCCCTGCACCTTGTAGTACCAGAAGGCAGTTTGCCACTAGAAATCGGGCACGGGTGCTTTGCTCAGGATGTAGGTTGTTGCTGGGAAAATGGAAGCTTGCATCAGCTGTGAATATTTGTTGGTGAAATGGTAAGATGAAAAGCAGAGTGTGGAAGTGTCTTATTTTATGGGTGTGGCTGCTGTACTTGCTTGGCTTCTGCTTATTAAATTACTTACTAAAACAGTGCATAATGCAGTCTTCATGGAAATACCAGAAGCATTGCACGGACAGAGTAACTGTCACTATGGTCAGCTTGACCAAATTACTCCAGCACATTATTACTTCAGCAAAAGAAATTCCAGCCAGTTATGGACAGTACAAGTCATGGTAAAGGACAAGCTAGATACACCTTGATGGAGAGCAGGGCCAGGGTTGGACGGGTAGAAAGTACGTGTGTGTATCAGTGTGGGTGGCAGGAGACCTGAAAGATGTGGGCAAATTCTGGCAGGGTTCATGAAGCTCAGGTCTGAGGGGTGGGCAGAGACTGATCTAATGCATTTGGTGATCAGCCAATCATTCTGAAGTCCATGTACAGCTCCCAACTGCTGGACATCAACTTTGAAGCTGCACTGGGATATGGTGTGTCTGGTGGATTCATGTCAGAATTCCAAGCTTGGATGCAACAGACAGTCTGCAAAGTTTTGTATTGCATAGTGGAAGGAATTTAAGTAAACATGCACAAGGAGGACATTCACCTGTGTTGTGTGTAAGATGTATCCAACTATAACAACTGTTCATAGTCCCCAATTTCTTTTGGACAACACTATTAAATTTCCAAATTTCCCTCGCATGAGTGACAAATTTTAAAAGGACAGCTTTGCCCTGACCTTTCTGTTTTCACTGAACCCTTTTAAGAGTGTATTAAAAGTGATGATCGGTAAGGATATTAATGATTGCAATTTTGGTCACATTATCGTTCACATATTATGTAGGAAGTGTCCAAATATTGTTTGTTGCAAAATTTGCAGGGCAACCACACTGGAAGTTAAGAATGTTGTGCACATTTTCAACTGACCTGTGGAAATCTATGTTAACAACCCTGTCAAGTGCTGTAAGTCTCAGCACAGTTTCTCAAAATTGAACACTGTAACTCACTAGTTAAAGGCAAATGATTTCAGCCTTGAACTTGTATGAAAATGGCTTTTTCTTACAGGATATCGGTACTGATAGCTTTAAGTAGGGAAGGTGAGCTTTCACATTCCCAGCTGTTCATGCAGGGTTCTTTAATCTCACTGCAATATGCAGTGTCTAGTATATTTATGCCCATCTGTGTCTTATCACGATTAATATACAAGGGACAGATGTACAATGACTTTGTTTTGTAATTCCGAAATGAACTTGTGGAACATTTGATTGCTTTATATAAATTGATTGAAGAATCTGGTTCTTGTTTTTCTTTTCATTGCGTGCTGGTTTTATGTTTTATTGTTTTCTTTCTTTGACTGGTGCTTTTACCTTTTATTCCCCAAACAGGCAGAGATATTTAGTTCAGCTTTTGAAGCCCAGAGAGATTTCCTGGCGATGGCCTGTAAACGACAGCAGCCTCTGGAGGTGAGTCACTGTGTATGTAAGATGACTATTCAAAGTCTTTTACAGGACATTCTCTCAAGCTCCATTAACTAATTTCTGAGCACATCTATAATTAATCTTGTTGAATGTTTTATTTCAACAATGAGAATTTTGTGCAGTAACAGACTTGAAAAATCCAGCAGTTGGGGCAAGGAAGTAGGAAAAATGGTTGCTTTAGACATTTCAAAAGGGAGACATCTGAAGCTTTCTAATTGGTTGCCATCTCCTTGTGGATATCCAGAAAAAGAACTTGCATCTGTATAAACCTTTAACAACCTGGGGACACTACAAAGTGCTTTTTTTCCAATCAAGTAATTTCAAATCAGTGATATAATGTTGGAAACTTGGCAGCCAGTTTTTGTACAGTAGCATCCCAGAAACAGTAATGAGATAGTAACTAGACAATGTTTTAGTGCTCTTGTATAAATATTGACCAGGCAGAGAACTGCCCCTTCCACATCCCCAAAAAATACTGTTATTTTAAATAGTGCCTTGCATTCCAGGGATGGAGACTAAAACTCACGCACAGCAGTGACAATTTAGTAAAGTATGCTGCTGCTTTAGCACACGTATTGCGATGTTCAGAGGATCATTGGAGCAGCTTAGACCGGAGTTGACTCTATGGGAACTGGCTGGGAACATGTGTTTCTGGTAGGGCAATTCCCCTGTGTTTGCAACCCTCTGAAAGAGTCTAATAAGTCAGAGAATTCAGAGTGCTGGCTCACTTAAAGTTAGTTGTTACCTATGAATCACAGTAGCTACTGATACCCTCGCCCAACTACATCCCCAATACCTGATTCCCCTGAAGCAACACCAACCCTAGATCCTGATCCTACCCCTCACATACCTATCCCCAGCATCACCTGGCCCTGCTTGAACTGATATCTGCTCCACCAGCATAGTCCTGTTGAAACTAAATTTACTGCTGTTTTTGTCAGAGTGCCTTTGTGTCCTTTAACTTCTGAAACACAGGAGTTGTAACTGTTGGAAAAAGGGATGTCATTACTCCTGTGCTGAGTGGATTTCTCCCTGGTTCCTCTGTCAGATGCATTTCAGAGAAAGGCCAGACTCCAACCTTCGGAAAATCTTCCGATGCTAATCAGAATATCTGGGCCAATACGTTCTATAGTTTAAAAAAAATTTCATTAGCTGCAATAAACGTAAACAATTCTCTCCCTAACGGCATTGTGGGTCAACAACTACGTGTGGACTGCAGTGATTCAAAAAGGCAGCTCACCACCAAGGTGAGGGTAACTTGGGAAAGGAAATAAATGCTGGCCCAGCCAGAGATGCCCACATCCCTGTGAACCAAAAAGAGTCCACCTGAGAGGAAAAATGGGGCCTCAATTTAACATCTCATCCAAAGAAGGAAACATTTCCTAATACTTCACTGGATTGTCAGTCTGGACTCTAGGTTATGTCCTCAAGTCTCTGAAGTGGGACATGAACTTCCAATTTTCTGATTCAGTAGCGAGGGCACTAACATTGAGCCACAGCTGGCACTTAAGTTATGTCAAGTACTAAATTGTAACTCTTACAGGTTAAGGTAATATTTAAAGTTTTACTGAAACACTTGTATCTTTCACTTTGTATTTTTAAAATTAATGAACTCCCATCTCCTAAACAGCAAAGTCACTGCTGGCTTTGACCTTCTGAATTCTATCTGCTTGACCCTGCACATTTTTGGCACCTGCTAAAGCATATGATGAGCAGCAGCAAATGACTTTGAGATCAGATAGCACTGGATAGATCTGTCTTGGGCAGCTGAGGTTGTATACAGAGCAGTGCCATTCCAGTTGTGGCATTGGTTGAAAGTTCATGTGTCAGAGCATAGTGCTAAAGATACTTCAAGAAACATTGTGCAATATTTTGTTGATCAATGAGACAAAGGGAAATTACGTTTATTGTTTGTGGCATCCAAAATGCTTGATTGATCCTTACATTCTTGGATGGGAGATAAAAAGCTGTAGGGTAGCATTTATGTAGTTCTGGGTGTACGCGTCACTTCTCCTACATTATAGAAATGCTTCCTTGGCTGTAGCACGCTTTGAGACACCCTAAGGAAAGGAGGTACTTGAATGCACGTTTTCAATTCATTCTTTAATTTTATTATACTGTCATGGTGCAGTCACTGAGTAACTCATATGTTTACTTTATGCACTGACAGATTGTTCTGAGTAATCTAATATCACTATATGATCCTGCTTAGCTAATCCAAAACTACTACATCACCCAGAATAAGTGGCTAGTTATTTTTTAGTTTTGGGACAAAATCAAAAAAGGATATATGGAGATGTACAATTGGAGCAGGGGGAGGTGGTGATTTAATACATGGTTCCTGTTGGTTTGTATAGTTTTTTTTCTTTTACCAGATTTGTCCACTTCATTTATCACATCCTATAGTATATATAAAATAGCTGCTCTTCTGCCTGTACTTTGTTTTTCCTGAGGAAGCATTCTTCCTTTCCACCTAAGCACACCCGATGGAGAGCTTTGCACTTGAGCAAGTGTTTTACATTCTGGTGTACAATGCCTTGGGTTGTTTATGCAGTGTGACACTATGATTATCTCAACTGTTAAACCCATTACAAGTATTAGTGAAAGATCTTTTAAAGTATTTTGGGCTGGTTTGTTGATATTTTCAGTGTAATGCACTTGCAGCATCATGGAAAGTTGAGTCAGAACTATAGCGGGGATGTGAATAACTGCATGTATGCAGTATGGATTTAAAATTCTACTTCCAACTTCTGCAAGAATTGAAAGTGAATCAAAAAAAATCAATTTTTACATATTGCATTTCATTTTTGGTCTGTTTATAGAGTGAAATCAAGAACACCAGAAGGACAAAACATTTGGACTGCAAGACTTAGTGGGAATTTTGAACACTTATCCCTGCTAACCAGTTAAAAAGGATAGGGCAAATTCCTAACAAACTGTAATCGTATAAGTGGAGATTATTTGCTTTCTCACTGTATTATCACTGTGACAAGTGATAATTTACTTTATTCAAAATGATAATTATTGTGCGGTGACATGTCTCTTGAAACTGCAGGAGCTAGCTAGTTAACTAAAGAGATTGAAGCTGCGCTAACAGAAAGAGACATCCCCTTAATAAATAAGCAGCAGGACAATGCGCTAGGAAATGGTGCTGTTCACATTTAAAGGCATGCTGCTTTTGCAACTCTTGGAAAATCTTCTGCTGTGAGTTTGGCTCCTTGGAGCCAACTACAGGCACTTGATCTTTGTATTAAATCCCTCATTTTAAGAGCGGTGATCTCTTTGAATGCATAAATATTCTCTGTGTTCAAATAGTGGTCAAACAAATATGCATAAACACATTAAGCTTCTGAGTGTTAATACTAAAAAGCTAAGTTTCTAGTAAAGGAAAACCTAGAATGGTAGAAAAGCGTCAAAGGATGCCATTCAGACAATCTTGCCAGTCTTTTGAATAGACTCAGTTAAACTTGTACCACTCCCCACTATTTTCCCATGATCACACAGAATTTTTACAGTGATGTATTTATCCAGCTCCCTTTTGAAAGGCACTATTGAGTCTATTTCTGCCATTCTTTTAGGAAATGCTTTCCAGAACACATTTTGCTGTGTTTAAAAATCAAATTGCACGTATCACCTCTGTCTCTTTTGCCAAATAGTTAAAATTTGTCATGTGGTTACCAGTCTTTCTGCGAATGAAAAGAGTATCTCCTTGTTTAGACTATAAAAACATGTCATAATCTTGAAAATTTTTCGTCTTCTTTTAATCTCTCTGCTGTAAAATAGATGACCAATATACTCCTTGTCTCTCTGTATAATCCATGTTCCTGGTACTGTTCTGGCAAATCTCACCTGCAGCTGTCTGAGATTCAGACATCCTTTCTAAAGTGTTCTGTTCATTATTGAACCTAATAGCTTGACTGAGGTCTAACTGGTGTATCATAAAGCTTTAGCATGAATTCTGTGCCGTGGCGTCGCTGTTGATAAAGACAACGATCCCTAATGCTTTTGAACTCAGAGTCATAGAGGTCTACTGCACAGCAAAAGGCCTTCCAGTTCATCGAGTTCATCGAGTCTGTGCTGATCAAAAACAAACATCTAGTCCCTTTTTCTAGCGCTTGTCCAATGGCCTTGTATGCCTTAGCATCGCAATTGCACATCTAATACTTCTTAAATTTTATGACAGTTTCTGCATCTATCACCCTTACAAGCAGTGAGTTCCAGATTCTTCTGAGTGAAAACTTTCCTCTAAACCTCTTGACCTTCATTTAAATCTGTGCATTCTAGTCATTGATCCCTTCACAAAGGGGAGTAGGTCCTTCCTGTCTACCCTATCTATGCCCCTCATAATTTTATACATCTCAATCATGTCAGTCTCCTCTGCTCCACTGCTACAAGGAAAACAACCTCATTCTATCCAATCGCTTTTCATAACTTAAACCCAGAAAACATCCTGGTAATTCTCCTCTGCACTATCTCCAGTGCAATCACATTGTTCCTAAAGGATTCTAGAACTGCACACAATACTCTAGTAGTGTCCTAAGCAATATTTTATACAGTTCCAGCAGAACCTCCCGGCTCTTAAACTCTATGCCTTGGCTAATCAAGGCAAGTATCCCATAAGCCGCTTTAACCGATTTACCTATCTGTCCTATTATCATAAGGGATTAGTAGACATGCATACCAAGGCCCCTCAAACCTTGGTGATTCCCAAGGGACCTACTATTCATCATGAATTCTCTTGCCCTGTTTGTCCTGCCCAAGTGCATTAGCTCATACTCATCCGAATTGTAATCTATTTGCCACTGATCAGTCCATCTGACCAGCTGGTCTGTATGTTCCTGTAATCCGAGGTATCCCCTCACTTTTTCCCACCCCATTAATTCTCGTATCATCCGCGAACCTACTGATCAACCCTCCTGTATCAAAGTCTATGTAATTTATACATACTGCAAACAGCAAAAGCCCTGCAGAATCCCACTGGACAC